ATTCCTTGTGTTTAGTGCTTAACAGAAACAAACTGAGCAAGAGGAGTGTCCTGCTTGATTCTCCCTGGGAATTTACAAACAACTTCTGTATGCCATACTGTGACGGAATAGTTGAACTTGTTTTCCTCCAATGTCTGTTTTTCTGGTGCATCTGTCTTGAACGTACAGAAATAATGCCCTGTCTAGCTGCATGTTAATGGATACTGAAGCCTCTCCAAATTGCATATGTATCTCTGCTCCCTGTTTTCTCTACGCTTTGTTTTGAGGCTAACAAGGCATCTCTGTAGGAGTTGGCATTTGACAAGAAAGATCCTGGAGTGCTTCTTTTAGAACACTGAGAGCAGTCTGTGTCTCTGAACTTAGCTGTGATGGCAAAAGTCTTTGTCCTGCTGCACTTTGTGCCATCTCTTGGGCAGCGTTTAGGGCAGCTCCCTTGGGGCATGCATAAAGAATATGTTAATTCTGGTGTTCTTGGAAAACTCAAGCCACTTCTTGTCTATGTAAACTATACTTGATGCTGCAACTGGGTAATGTCATTTCCTTTCTCCTCGGTGACATGTGGAATGTTTGCTTTGCTTAAACAGCTGTTCACTCAGTCCACAAAGTAAATAGGTTGACCATCCTGGAGTGTAGTACAATCCTCTCTTCGCCTCAAGCCAGACTGTTTTTGTGAAACCCTGACCTCATTCATACAGAAAACACCTTTAGTAAGTGTTTCTAGATCCATACATGTTTAATGCTGCTAAATGCTAAGTGATCTTAAGTGATATAAGCCATTCTGTAGAAAACAAACAAAATGTTTATAGTTAGTGTTTATCTCCTTACAATATCCAGGTCTGACTGCAAGGTGTCCAATTAGTTTGCATGTTCCCTTGGTTGCCATACAGGTGCTGTGGCTCCTAGTGGCTCTTACCTCCTCTTTTTGCCATACTCACTCGTCATGAATGAATATACCTACATGTGTCTTTGCAGAACTTGGGAGAATGTGATGGCACATGACAGAATGGTGTATTTTTGAGCTAGAGGTGAGGAACACAGGCATAAACTGTGCAGCGACTTCACAGCAGAATACTTGCACATGCAGCAGCTTATCAGAGTAATCCCCTTTTGGTGAATCTGTTCTCAGGGTCAGCTGTTGGCATTAATTTGAAGCAATGAAGATTCATGAACTAAAGTATCTCTCTAATTGAAAAGAAATGAGCAAATTTAAAGTTCACATAATCTAACTGCGGTATTAAGTTGCCTTAAAAGATCTCAGAAGTTGACATAGAGAAACTCATTTCTTAAGTTTAGAGACTGGTTTGGTAGGATCGGTGTATTTGTGATAATTCTGTCATTGTCGAACTCTCACTAAATTCATAATTGAGATTCTTCCTTTCAATTGAATACATCTGAGAGGTGCCAGACTGACAATCCTTTGAAGTTCACCTGCTGTGTCTGCAGACTGCACTGACAGGCAGCGGCAGGGCAGGTTTCCTGGTGCTGCTGCCAGAACCCAGCTCTTCAGCAGGAGCTGACCTTACCAAAACTTGCTGGCTTGCCCTTCTCTGCTGAGCTGTTGACAATGTGCTGAGTTCGTGCCAGCTGTACTGGGGTTTGATGTGGGATTCTGACAGTGGGAATCAATTGAATTCATTTTCAGCATCTGTTACGGGCTGAATTCCTGTGGTGCCTGCTCATGTACCATGCCCAGCACCCATGGGGTTACATGCTGCCATTCCTCTGAGGTAGCAGCATTGGTTTCAACTGAGGTTGCAGTGAAGTGGGAAGGTCTTTCTTCATGAGATTACTTGATGTTTTCAATCCGATTTTGAGTCGTCTTGTAATTTGCGTTGGAATTGTTTCTAGTCTGATACCCACGTATATAATTTGTGTACACTCTTATTTTCCTTTTCTTTTCCATTGCTGACAAATAAAAATATGTAAAAACAACACTATGACATCTTTAAGGGACTGATTCAGAATTGCACGCTGTGGAGCTCTTCTCATGGCTGGACAGCACAGGGTGAGCCTCAGCCCTTTGGTGGGCACTCAGAGCTGGGAGCTACAAATCTGCTTGTAAGTCAGGAATGTTGTGCTTTTTGTTCCTGTGAAATCCCATTTTGGCTTCAAATGATTCTTTTCAGAGGAAGCTCTGGTTTTCTTTCTAAAGCTTTGCCATGTCAGTGAATGTTGTGGTACAGTTTTTTGGTTTTGGAAAGGATAAAATCACGGGCTGATACAGCTCAACTGCAGGTCTTGGTTTTGCCGCTGTGCCAAGAACCCAGCATCAAATACATACAAAGACAGCGATGCTGTAGAAAATAAAATGGATGCTTCATCAGAGCAGTATCTGAAATGTAAGATGTTCCTTGCAAGTTGTGCATCTCCCTACAGAACAATGACAATGCAGACACACCACAACATGGGAGATGTCGTGGTGAACAGCTTTTCTGAAATGATTGTCAGTCATTTTTACAGATACTTGTTTTATTCTACTCCTTTTCTTATACAGACAGGCTTCTCAAGTTCTATAGTTTGGGAATGCAGGATGGGGGAAGGTGAGGGGCTGCAGGTAGGAATGTGCACCCTAAAGTATTTGGGGGTAAAACTTCATTTCTTCTTGTTTTGTAGTCTGAGCTCAGAAAATGGAGTAATTCCTGTTCTACTCCTTAGCAATCATTCATTGCTCCTTTCTTAGAACATCAAGGTAAGAAAAGCATCAGGCCTCCTCCTGAGAAAGTGCTGTTTTGAACAGCTGCCCCAAACGGTAGGGCTGTGGTGGAGCCCCACGTTCTCCTTTTCTCATTTCTGTAAGGGAATCCAGAAGCAGTTGTAATTCGAGGAGACTGAATTGCAGTAATTTATACTTTGAGCATATTTGGTGTCTGAGAACATCGCCATTTAAAATGTGAAATAGTATTTTAAAAAGGAGTGTAATTTTCTCCAGATGACTTTTATTTTGGAGGGAATGCAGGTTCATAAGCAGAACAGGTGTTAGGATTGTAAAGCAAAGGAGCAGAATTAAGGAGGTGGTATCTGCATGGTAAGTACATCTGGAAGTTCACTACAAACCTAGTGAGGCTGTTGTGTCCTCTGCTCTCACCACTTTGTTCTCTGGGAGGGAATTTCCTCCTGATCTCTGCAGCCCTCGCTGATCAAGACTGCTGATCAAGACTGGGTCATTTACTGAGTGAGAACCCCATCGATCAATGGCAGTAACTAAAGGGAGCGTGAGGCCTGCAGCCTCAGGCACCTCTGTTATTTCCATGGAACGGGACGTTTGCTGCAGTGCTCAGTGCTATGGACTGACTCTTCCACTCATCCCCGCTTCTTGAACTTCTTGGTTTGGAACAACGGGAGCGATAGTCGATTTCATAAGCCCTGTTGTTGGGTTGCTCTGTGTGTGCGCTGCAGTGGTTTATCATCGCATGTTTTCCTTGAAGCACATGAGCACCTCTTTTTCCTGCTGTGCAAATCTCCCTGAACCTGAAACGTATGGGATGTTCATGGTGCTTGGGATGTCTGTTATGAAATTGTATTCTGGGCTTCTACCTGGAAATTGTTCCATTTCCATTAAGATTTTTAAGCTCTTGTAACTTTCAAGAAAATTACAAGGTTCCCATGGCATCTATTGAAGTGCTGCTGGGTTTCAAAGCTGCTTCTCTGTACAGAGGAGGTTATAATTCACCTTTCCTAAGTGGTCAATGGCTTTGCAGTTCAGTTACCCTATTTTACTGGTAAATGTCATTTGCTGGTGGGGAAATGTGACTAGAAAATGATAGAACAGGCTTAAAAATTCCAGAATTTGCTGCTGGGGCTGTAATTCAATGCAACAAGGCTGGGTTTGGAGTCTGAAATACATGAGAGATGTCAGTTGTGCATGCAGCCTGGTTAATGCCTTCATATAGGATTTTCCCTTTGTGTGTTCCTGCCTTCATGTGCTTACACACAGGGACAGAAGGTTGTCTTCTTCAGTAGTCCGGCTGGGTGCAGTTTAGAAGAATTCTTACTGCATTTGGAAATAATGGTTAATATGCACACATTATAATCTGGTTTTAAAATGTTTCTCTTCCTTGAGTATTGTGAGCTAAATAACCTTACACGAGCGATCTCAGACTATGACATTTCATGCTTAAAGGACAGAGGGATTTAAAAGTAAGCGAATCCTTGAGGTGTTACATGAGAGCTGGAACAGGAGCTCTCTGCCACGTACTGCAGAAATTCATTTCTGCTTCTTCGTATTTCAGAAACTCCTGCCAGGTTTATCTGAACTCATGTGAGCGTTCAGCAGAGACCTTCCTCTGGGAAGGTCTTGTCTCCCAAGTGCCGCAGGGTGCCGTGAAAAATGCCCCACATCCACCTTTAGCAACAAAGCTCATGTCGCCAGGGGGTGTTTGGTGGGGGTCTTTCAGCAGTTCTCTGCTGTGCTGAGCAACTTTGAAGTTTGAACTTATTCTGTAATTAATGTCTCAACTGGGAAGTCCTAACAAACTGTCTGTTGCTTCAGCTGCTCTCTGCCTAAGGCAGAACTATCAGAGGAAAACAAAGTAACAAACACAAAACAAATTTCTGCAGCTGCTGCAGTATCAGGAACTATTTCCCTTTTATCCTGTCTGTAAGAAGGTTAGCGAGGCAGAGCATGCAGGGTCAGACTGACCGAGCTGCAGAAGAGCCAGATGCGTGGGGCAGTGTCAGGAGCTGTGCTCTGTGGCTCAGGTTTGCTGCTGCACTCCTGCAGGAGCCCGGTGCACCTGTGAGCTGTATCCTGGCTCACAAAGCACCAACAGCTGCTGCTGGGGGAGGAGGTGAGAGGGGTTCCTGAGAGCAGCACTAGGAACCCGAACAGCACATGTTGGGCAGGTCAGAGAGGCTGCTCAGGAGGCATCTGTGGGGTGTGAAGTATGGGGGTACAAAGGATGGGGGTGACAAGTGCCGTGCTGTCAATGGGGTTGTGCCAGGAGTTGTGTTGGTGCGCCCCAACATGCTATAAAATGAAGGTGAGAGGCAGAAATCTCTGTTGTACACCGTTTATTTTTCATGTGGAGCTTGGCCAATAAACAGGACTGAATTAAAGCAACACTCATGAAAAATAAAAGCCAACCATGACTCAGAAGTGCAAAATTGCCTTCCACGTGTCCAAAGACAATGAGGTTCTGGTTTGCTGGAGATAGCATTATGGATATTGGTGTCTGTACCAGTAGGGGAAAGGCTTCGGCTTATTGATGTCCTCCTATGTGGGAAAAGGATGGCTGGTACAGGATATGGCTTTGTCACTGGGTCACCACCTGGGACCGAGAAAGAGCATCTGCCAAGCAGAGGTCACTCTGAGTTTCTCTCCAGCCCCATCTACACGTCATGGATGCTGTCTTCCGCCCCAACCACTGACCAATGGCTGCTGAACAGGGATTATTATGAAATCAAAACGAACAGTAAAACTCAAGAACAAGAAAAACTTGCCCACCTCCATTGTGTTTGGACATGGCTCGTCCTATGAACAGCACCAGTAGCGAGCAGACAGTTCCATGGTGGAGGAGTGGTTTGTGATGGGAAGACTTAAACTTGCAAAGGATCAGAGAAACTAACAAGTGCATCCCAGGTATGAAATTACAGTAACAGGTTGCCTAAGGCTGAGAAAGGTCTCAATTGCATCATCCCACCAGGTGTGCAGCTGAGCTCGCTGTGGCTTTCCTCATCCACTTCTTCATGAAAGCGGCGTTTGTCCTGTCCCCTGCTGTTCCCTGCTCACCTCTTTTTGCAGCTCTGTGACAGAGGAGCCAGCTGGGCTCCAGAAGGCAATGCATGCCTTGAGATAGTTACTGGGTCCTGTCGTAGTCTGGGTTGTTTGGCACAGCATTCCTCGAGACACATCACAGAATCATTAAGATTGGAAAAGGCCGCTAAGATCATCTAGTCCAAGCACTGACCCATCCCCAAGCCCACTAACCATGTCCCTCAGTGCCATATCCTGTGACTCCACCTGGGCAGCCTGTTCCAATGCTGGGGGACAAGTGCCAGCTGAGGGGCTGCATGGTAGAGCCAGGAGGAAGGCAGGTCAGTTATTTGCCAAGCTGGAGGTGATCAGAATGTGCATCATGGAGAGGAGAAAGCTTCCTTAGTGCTACTTCTGTAGTTCTGCTTGGGGATGTAAATATGTCACAGCAAGAGAAAGAAGATTTCAGTGCCTAAGCACACTTAAAATCACAGAATCAGAATTGTTTGAGTTGAAAGGAGCTCAAAGATCATCTAGTTCAACTCCCATGCAATGAACGGGGCATCGGCAGCTAGATCGGGTTGCTCAGAGCTTGGCCCATCCTCATGGATAGGCCCCACCTCATATCAGCAGTCACTGGGACCCCCTTGGCTACCTGAGGGTAGCATCAATTTTTCCAGCCTCTTCTCCATACTGGGGTAGAGGAATGGCCCCAGCATCCCATGCAAGGACAGCATATCTATGGACATATTTGGTTCAGAGCTTCATGTGAAATTTCTTTCAACCAGATTAGTAGCACGTGGGGACAGCAGCACTGCTGGGACTGCCGTAGGGTGATGTGTGGGAGCAGCAGGATTTCCAGGAGAGGTCGGTCTGTTCCTGGGTAGCAGGGCTCCACATATGTTAGTACCATTCACCAGCAGAAAATGCCAGTCCTCAGACCAGTTATTTCCCACTGCAAGAAATTCCAGCTAGGGTGGTCTTCACTTACTTTCTTGTCTCCAAAGCGCAAACCTGGGGAACGGAGGTTGTGATGTAGCTGTTCAGGCACTAGGAACATGGAGAAAGATTTGATAAAGCTCAGGGTGTTTGTACAGCTGGAATCTTTACATATGCCCTGAACAGAGGCTTGGTCAACAAGCAACATTCAGCAGTTTGAACATATCAAATGAATTTCCGTCTGCTCAGCTGGACAACTCTCCATTTTGCTGGCATGATTTGAGGTCTGGGGTGAATTTCATTCAGAAAAGAAGGTTCATTTTCTGTTTCTGAATATATTTGCTGCAGCAGTGCCCTTCCTTCACGTGCTGGAAGAGCTCAGGGTTAGCAGGGTCCAGTTTCTCCAACCGCTAGCCACAGCTGTGTACCCACATGCTGGGTCATCTGTGGACTGTGGAGGACTGTGGCACCTGCCTGCCCTGCTCAGCACAGGTTCTCCCCCCTAACCCCAGCTCCGGCCGGCCCCCAGCAGCAGGAAGCAGCAGCACATGGACAGGAGCTCACTCGCAGGTGGATGCTATCCTGCCAGTCCCCAGCACCATGCCAGGCAAACGCTGCCAGTACGGCACTGCGAGGGAGCGGGGATGGGACACACTCTTCCTGAGATTTCCCTTGCTGTGCTCCAGTCCGTTTCCAACATCTCCCAGAGCACGTTCCCCGCTGTCAGAGATACCCCAGATGTTCCTCACGCTTCTCCCTATCCAGCGGTTGAGTCCACAGCTTGTTCTTCTGTCTCATGGTTAAAAAAATATATCTGTATTTTATTTTTCATCCTCGTCTCCCTCGCTCATGCTGCTGAGGGAGGCGGAGGCGGCTTTAGGAGAGGAGGGCGGGGAGGCTTTGTTGAAGACCCACGGAGGGGATGGCGAGCGGGATGGCGAGCGGCCTCGTGTAGGGCTGCTGGTTGGGCTCTGCCGCGGAGAGAAAGCCTGGAGCATTCGGCCGCTTCGTTCCTGGAACATCTGCTTCTGCAAAAACAAAGTGGGAAGGTGCTCTGAGTAGGACACCAAGACAGGAAGGGTCTGTGGGCAAAGGGGGCAGCTCTGCATGGTTCCTCACCTGGGGCTAACACAGCATAGACTTTTGCTCTGAAGCACAGCCCCTTCATCCCATGTGTGCTTCACCTCTCAGGCTGTGCTCGCAATAAGCTGGTTTCTGACATTACAGGATTTTCCTTTTAGCAAGGACAGCCTTGGTATTAGAAAATCGTGTGTTGTCCTGAGTTAGCCAGGGGAGCTACCTTGGGCTCATTTCAGATGTGACAGTCATGCTGTCTCACAAAGCAAGTCCCCTGCCTGACCTCCAGGTGCCCCTTGTTCCCAGGACCTTTTCTTCTTGCTGTGCTGCACAGACACCTGCCTCCTGCTCAGCTGCCTGGCCAGTGCAGGCCATTTTCCTTGTTCCCTTCTCAAGGGCAGCAGCCCAATGCCTGCCCAATACTGTCAAGTGCTTCTCCTGGTACCTAGAACGTGCACAACCCAAACCCTTAAAATTGGGGCCAGGGAGGAAATGTCAGAATTCAGATGTCTGTTAAAAGAGAAACTCGCGCAGCCTGTATATTCTGCTTTGGGCTTTATTGTTTTTTGCTTGCTAAAGTTGAGCAAGAACCTTCCATAGCTGGTGGGATGGAACAGACCAAATTTTCAGGCAAATGTTCTGCTACAATAAGGCAAATGCTGCTGCTGGTTAGTGCTGCTGTGACCTTGCAGTAAAGCTCTGGGACTCGGTTACAGGTGATAGGGCTTGTACTGCGCAGTGGCCATCGGCTTCATGCTGAATACTCAGAATCAGAGTGGCTCATTTCTCCTCTTGGAAACAGGGAGCAAGAACTCCCGGTGTTGCTTGGAGTGCCAGGAGTCAGTTCATAGGTGACGCTTAGCTGGAATGGAAAAGCCATCCCCAGCAAGGTTAAGTTGTCATTCAGGTCTGAGAGCCAAATACTTGTGCAGAGATACATTCTGGCTTCTGGGCATGCTGCTTAGGCTGCTGAAGTCTTTCTTAACTTGAGGTTACATTTTGTTCCTCCTCCCCTTCCCGTGCCTGCTCGTCCCTCCTTTAGACACTCTCTAGTAGCTTCCTGCCCTTAAATTACGGTGCCCAACACTGCAGCCAGTGCTGGAGGTGAGGCTGCAGAGCAGAGCAGGACAACCCCTCCCCTCACCCAGTGGCAGTGCTGGGCCCGGTGCACCCCTGGGTCCTGTTGGCCCCACTGGCTGCCAGGGCGCACCGCTGGCTCAGATTCAACTTGTCACCAGCCAGAACCCCTAGATCCCTTTCTGCAATGCTTCTCTCTTGCCTCTTGTTCTCCAGTTTGTATGTATGTCCAGAGTTGCCCTGTACCAGGAGTGGAATCTGGAACTTACTGTTGTTGAGCTTCATGGGGTTGGTAATTGCCAACCACATGTTTAATTTGTCAAGATCTCTCCATAAGGCAACAGCTCCTCTTAATTCAGTATCACATGCAAACTTTCTTAGTGTACATCTGACTCCTGCAACTGGATCATTGATGAAAACACTAAACAGAACTGGCCCTAAAACGGAGCTCCAGGGAACCCCACTAGTGACTGGCTGCCAGTCCCACATAACCCCACTTGCAAAACCCTTTCAGCCTGCCCTGTCAGCCAATTTCTCACCCAGTGTGTTGGTATGATTTAGCCTGTTTCATCCTCTCCTTGAAAACAACCCCTACTGAAAACACGGTGTTCGATATGTTTTTATCCTGGCCAAGAAAACCACTTCTGGCTTTCTTGCCCCTGCCACCTACTGGCCGCTTCAAAAAGCTCAGTGATGTGATGCCTCATGGTGTGGTACCAGTGCTGGGGGGAACTGAAGCGGCCCAGCCTGGCCCTCTACCTATCCCACTTGGCAGTGGGCACTTGACTGTGCCCCTCCCTGGGCTGGAAAGGAGAATTTCACCTTCCTGCTAAAGCCCTCAGCTGAACCATCGGACATTTTCCTGGTCCCTGCTTCAGCAAAGGGTTTGGTGATTGAACAGTCTGATGTGCTCACAACTTCAGCTGGGGAGGTGGGTGCTCAGCCAGTCCCCAGTGTCTCTCACAGAAGTGCCTGAAGCACCAGGCTGACAGCTAAAACCACGGCCAGCTGCAGGAGATGGCAGTGCTATTCCTTACTCCAGGATGACTCCTCTTCCCCTGGCCCTGCTCATCCAGGGTAAGTGACACTCATATCTTTGCAGTCCTGTGTTCCTAATGGAAGTAGTCCTCTAGCCACTGGCCTTGAATAAGGAAAAACAACTTTAATGACTCGCTTGAAACACCGGAGGATTGGACAAGGCTGTGTGCCAGGACCTTCTGGGGAGACGGCAAAAGAATTTTCAAGCCTTGCTTCAAGCAAATTCAGATTCATCCAATGGTTTACGGAGATAATACTTAGATTTGCCAAACTTATGACTGGACAGAATTGTTTTTCCCACTTCTGAATTTTATACCTCGTAGTTGCATTCATGCTGCTCAAGGGTGGGGTCTGTGTCGATAGCTATGTGCCATGAGAGGCTGGGCAAAAGAAATCACATTGCCTACGTGTTGATGCTCCTTTGTCTTACAAAACAGGCACCAGCAAGGCATTACGGAGGACTAATGCTTTTGTGCTATTGATATTTCTGCTGACTTTCAAGGTCCAGGCTGTGGACGTACGAAGTATTCTAACACCAGCCCTGGCTTCAGCTGCAACACACGAGATTCACCCAAACCTCCGTGGGTGCCTGCAGTGGTTCATTCCACTGAGAGGAAGATTCATGCAGAAGTCATACGCTGTAAGCTTTACTTCCTGCTTATCTATTCTGAAATGCAGCTCTTTCGCTCATAGATTTCTGAAATGAGGTGAAATTAGTCCCACTGTTTTCTGTTTTTGTGGAGCTCCATGTCTGCCATTAGGGGCTGCACACCAGGACGTGCTGGGGAACTCTCTCACACCAGAACAAAAGTTTTGTGCCTCATTAATCGTCGTTGTTTCTGACACCTCTGTGACTCTCTCTCAAAAAATACACACAGCGAATTGTACAGGTGAACAGAATTATAAACCAGTTGCCTACAACTTTTCATTTTGAAAACTGACGTTTTGACCTTTTTTAGAAGCTGCTGTTTTTTTGTGGGTTACGTGGCCCTTACTTTTAGAAAATTGATGCTAACATGAAGTGTATTATAATAACTATTTGTGAAATAATAACAGCATATTAATGGAATTCAAATTACAGATCTAAGAATCTACCACACCCGTAACCATTCCTGTACTTTTACTGTCAACATTAAAAGCAACATCTAACTAACAGCGATAGGGCAAATTAATGTTAATAACAGTTTTGACACTAATAGCAAGTTATCATTATTTTAAAAGTCTTTCCTGCTGCAAAGCTCAAACTGATTTAAAAAAACTACAGCACCTCTCAGCTCACTGTCACTGATGCTTTTCCCACAAGAGTACAAAGAGAGTACACCCCTCTGGACTCTTACAGATTTTTTCTTAGCAAAGGTCTCTGATTGCATCAGACTTCCCACTAGGTGATCTGGACATTAACTCAGGACACAGAATCACAGAATGGCCAGGGTTGAAAGGCACTTCAAGGATCATGGATCTCCAACCCCCCTGCCACATGCAGGGCCACCAACCTCCCCATTTAATACTAGACCAGGCTGCCCAGGGCCCCATCCAACCTGGCCTTGAACACCTCCAGGGACGGGGCATCCACAACCTCTCTGGGCAGCCTGTTCCAGCGCCTCACCACTCTCATAGTAAAGAACTTCCCCCTGACATCCAACCTAAATCTCCCCTCCCTCAACTTAAGACCACTTCCCCTTGTCCTGCAGTTATCCACCCTTTCAAAGAGTTGATTCCCCTCCTGTTTGTAGGCTTCCTTTATGTATTGAAAGGCTGCAATGAGGTCACCCTGCTGCCTTCTTTTCTCCAGGCTGAAGAAGCCCAGCTTCCTCAGCCTGTCTTTGCAGGGGAGGTGCTCCAGCCCCCTCATCACCTTTGTGGCTCTCCTCTGAACCCTCTCCAACAGCTCTCTGTCTTTCTTGTACTGGGGACTCCACATCTGGACACAGTACTCCAGATTGGGCTCACAAGAGCAGAGCAGAGAGGGACAATCACCTCCCTGTCCCTGCTGGCCACCACTGTTCTAATGGAGCCCAGGATACCATTTGCTTTCCAAGCTGAAAGCCACAGCATCTCCCCAAAATATCTTTGCAGACCAGCTTTTCTCTAATAAACTGAATTCTGTAAAATATTTATCACCATATGGTTTTTAAATGTACTTAGTGTGCATTTTGATTTGGTAGAGCAGGGGAATAGGATCAGGGCTTTGAAATTCTCTTCTTCCCAGCGCACACCCAAATGCATCTCATCTCTTGTGGATTTCATGTGATGTTTGCATTGGTTTGATTTGTTGGTTGTGTCTCCTTGTTCAGCACCTATGGCCAAAAGACCGCATTGGGAACACTAGCTTGCAAACAAAGCTCTTTTTATGTGGATGTGGTCAATGCAGATAGACCTGGGTTCTTCATCAGAACAGTTTATGGTCTGCACTTCCCTAAGGAAAATGGTATTACTAGTGAACACCTGGCCAACAAAGGTACATCTTGGACTGGCACATGTGGTGTTCAGCGGGCCTTTGCATTTGACAGCTGTCTCTGTAAGGAGATAATAAAGGTGCAGTCTATGTTCTTGAAGCCTTCTTTTAGGCTTTTCTCTGTTGAGCTGTAATCAGTGTGGCAAGTGATGGCAGAGGGGTGATGATGGTGAAAACTCCAGTAAAGGGCAGCTTGGTGGCACCGAGTCCTGACATGACTGTTGTATGGGCTATTTGATTCACCATCTTGACATGGATTTGTTTATAAACGGAAGCTCTACTATGATCCTTTCAACATGAGTGTACTATTCATAATGGTATGTAGTTCAGCTACATACTTCTGCATTCAGAAGAAGTTTTGTTCCCCATTTCAAAATAGCAATGGGAAGCATTACAAGAAAACAGGGCTTCAGAATGTTTGACAACTATCAGAACTGGAAGATGACAGCCAGGTCTCTTTTGGGACTCTGTTTTGTAACCAACTCACCACTCAATGCAGGATTTTAGTTTGAAAAGGTGGTGCACTGGGATTTCTCCCCCAGATAACACTGTTACAGCCCCTTAACTACCCTTCCACCCAGACCTGGGTAAATGGAGTATGTGGAGCCAGAACTTAACAAGGAGACCTTCAAAAGTGCTTCAAGTTTTACCTGAAAATTCACTGCAGTCAGTTAGACAACCCAGCTCACCAGACATGTATGAGAATTTCTCAGTACATAAAATCAGTAGTTCTTACGACTAGGAAATATCATCTACTGTTGAGTACAGAGGATAAACAGAGCAATTAAATTTCTAATATTCCTGTTTCTCTCAACAACTTCAGTGTACAGCTTATCTCTGCTATCTGTGTGTATCTGTGTGCTATCTGTATATCTGGTCTTATTTAGTGCTAATGAAGAAAACAGACTGTACTAAATCTGTTTGCTTAGTAAGAAGTGGCTGTAAGGCAGTGTGACTGAATGTAGTATCGCATCCACTCTCACAGCTTACTTAACGGCAGGGTATCTCACTGGTTAAAAAAATGTTATAAATTATAAACAAAAAAGACAGAAATTGTTGCAAAGAAGCAACAGGCATCGCAGATCCTCCTGCTGCAGTATTGGCACGCATTATTGGATTCAGCAAGCAGGTCTGGCATTAACCTACTGTGCTGGCTTTCAAAGTAAATACTGCAGCAAAGGAATCTGCTCTTGAATCTGTGTTACAGAGAATAAATAAATAAAAATGCTCACACTCCCTGGCATGGCAGAATACCTACCAGAGCTCCATCGGGTCCAAACAGCTCTAAAAAGTTGCCAATAAATTCCCTGGACTTTTCTTCCCATTTCTGAATGAGGTCATGGCTCTTCTCTTCCACCTTGTTGACAAATTCTTTTGATTTCTCCTCTACGTTCTTTACTTTTTCTTTCATTTTGTCCACTTGGTTTTGAAAGCGATATTTCTTCTCCTGTTTAGAAAGTGTGGGCAGAGATGAATATACAGGGACTTGGGAAACATTATGCACTGAATGTAAAGAAGAAAAACAAATCTCATGACTGTATGTGCTTTACGTTTATATATGCATTTAATGTATCTGTAATGAAGCACAGAAAGTGCATATTGAAAAAGATGTTGTATGTTATTACTGTGCTTATTCTACTGCATCACTCAGTACGTATTTGCAAACTGAATGTGCTTTGAAAATTTTGTGAATCTTGTCAAGACTACAAGTGAAAAATTAACAGTTCAAACTTAATAGAAAGCAAAAGACCAATGCATTCTGCTGCTGACTTGCCAGCCTGGATATTGACTCGGTCCCAAAAGCCTCTATGGTCAGACTTCTGCAGAGCAGAAGGAAAATTCTATTCACCTCGGAGCCTGGCAAATACAGGAGCTTCAGACTGCCAGAAAACAGAGCAAACTCCTGTTGCTTAGTAGCCAAGAGAAAGAGAGCGGAAGTGAAGATACTGTTAGAAAGGCACAATTTGGCCAAGCTTCTAAAGTACTTCAGGGCTTTTGTCCTGATATGCTTCTGTGCTCCTCAAAAGTACAGCATCCAAAACTAACCAAACCACTGGCCCTGAAAACAGAATGCAAATCCACAGCAGCACAGCATACTACTAGCTTTTAATTTCCTGTGAACTTCATTTAATTGTCCTTTTAATTTGCTTTCCAAATGCATACTGTTTAGTACTGGGGGGTGAGGTTATTCTAGCTCATGAATCACAAGAACTGTCTTTGCGGGCTACAGGACCAAAGAAGATCATTAAAATCCCAAAAAGCCTAACTCACTTTGCACCTAGCAGGCAGCCTTCCATTACCTGGGAAACCAATGCTTTTCTGTCTTGGTGAAATCTCATTTTTTGTTTTGAAACAGAAAAAGTCTCTGGTAAAAAGTAGTATTTTTGCATTTCAATTACAGTAAGCTACAATAACCAAATGTCAGAAGGGACTTCAGAGTTCATGGGTTTGAGACTGGGGGAAGCATAAGATATGTAACAGTATCTTAACCTCAAAGCAGTTAAAGAATGACTTTAAGAACCCCCAAGGCACCCAGCGTGCCCTAATTTAATGGATACTTGCAATAGTGATTGTTATGGGTAAAACACCTAAAGCAGGATTTTTAGAGGTGTAAAAGACTGAGAAGAAACATGGTGAAATATTTATGCCCAGTGTACTGTAATTTATCTGCCAGACTTCACGATAAGAAACAAGTAAATAAAATCCTCAAGAAATGACACAATTCAGTCATTCATGAGAGGCCTTCCCAGCTCCAGAGAAGGAGGGGTAAAGCCCCCTATGATCTAGCCCAATCACGAGGAAGATTTCAGTAATCTAGGTTATCTCAAGGCCTTAAGTTGGGACTTGAAACAGAAAATGAAGGGAATAAGCTTTCATCTCTGTCACTGTTTACTGGAGGGTAAGGTGCAGCTGAATTTTTCTGAGCAATCCTTCCAAACAGCACTCGTGCCCTACTTATGCTCTTGTGCTACGTATTGTGATTTTTATTAAATTTCAGCATCATTTAAATATTTAGTTCCTAACATGCTTCCCTGTGTTTTAAAACCTATTTTAGCTTTCTCTAGTTATCTCAGGGATCAGCATTTTTGTTGTTAATTTCTTTATTACTCTTGTCACGCTGCAGGGAAAGTTTGGATATCAAAATCTTTGCTTTCTGTGCTGCCTTCTCGCAATAGAATACAGAAACAAATCATTCTCTGGGTCAGTGTTTGAGAAGACAGCAGCAATGGGGCTGATTTTCTTCCTAGTATGTTATTAAGTCATTTACAGCTCAAGGAGGGATAGGAGCAGCAGCTTTGTTACCAACGTGAAAAATGGAAATGAAAGCCGCTAATTACTAAGAGGAATTAAAACCATCTTCAGCTTACCTATCTATTTTAAATCAAGTTCTTCCCAGCTCTGTCTTCTCTTTTTAAAACATCAGTGGGGAGATGCACTTTCTTACCCTTTATGGTACCTTTGGGGTCCTAGGAAAGAACGTTTCAGAAGCAAATGTGGATCAGAGTACTTACATTTATAAAACTAACGTTCAGCTCTTTGGCGGTGTATCCTCGCTGGAGGTTGCGCCGGGCGTACACATCATAGTCCCGCACAATCCTTGTGATTATATCTGATGTTGAGATACCTTCAGTTCTCTGCGTTGGTACGAACATTCCTGAGCAAAGTGGGAAAAGAAAGCCAGCTGGGAAAGCACGGCAGGACCAGGCACTGCGGCAGGTAGCTGAGAAGGGACACAAAAAGCCTAACCAAAGTCAAGACGCTTGCAATTCTGGCCGTCTCGTTCTTAGTTCTTTCTTCTTGTTCCTTTGTGAGAGGGTGCGAGGTTGCTGTACAGTTCATTTTTCCTCAGTCTGCAGAAAGGCTAAAACCTTCCCCCTGCACTTCTGATAAAGTTACCAGACTGGCAGAGGCTCCTGAGTCAGCCCTTCGCTGGGGGAAGCAATTTGCTTCCACTCACACTACTGAATCTGCTTCTCTCTTGTGTATTTTTACTTACCCCTCCATTCCTGTGTTGTGCTGTCTGACAGTCTTTGTTCTGCTAAGTTTAAAAAAAACAACCAAGCATAAACAGTCAGACAAACCACTGGCCAAAACCACAAAGCACCTTCAGGCAGAAGATGTATACTCTGCATTACAAAATACAAAAATGCAGTGGGGACTGAGGCCATCAGGCTCTTCAGCCCTCCTTCATGTATATCTTGCTGCTTAACTGGTTGTATCATCACTCTCCTTCTCCACCTAACAAAACTGGTACTTTATTAATGCTGCATTGTTTTCTTCAATACAGCTGAGGAATGTATTTGTTTTTCACTGTTCCTGATCAAGACAGGATCACTTGACCTGTTCAAACAAGTGACAAAGGCAATACTACCAGCACGCCTTGCCTTACGAGTTATTTAGTGCCACAAAAAATTATTACTATCACTTATATGTAATTGCAACATTAAGCTGCTAATGAGAGAGAGCTGTGAGTTAAGACTAGAAATAGGTTTGCAAAAAAAAAATAGTGCTTTGTCTTAAAAGCTATTGATCAATTAATTCTCAAATTCACTTAAGGCAGGCATTGCTAGCAAATTTCACGGGGTTGGAAAAACAAATGGGGAAGGAATTGAGAAGCTTAGCAGCCTCTTGTGACTAAATGATATTTGATATGTTTTCCTTATGATCTCTAATTAGTATTCTTCTCAAAGTTAGATTATTCTAATCAAGAGCAGAGAGGTTTCCCCAGTCATGCTTTTCAGGCATGCAGCAGTCACTCAGGAAAGTATTTTTGGAAGCAGTGAAACCCGCTTTAAGCCAGAAGCTTCTATAAATAGGAGCTACAAGAATTCATTAACAGAAGCCAAAGTCTACCCTTGCTATGCCAAATGCTGAATTGTTTTCAAGTAAGCGTTAAAAGCCACTTTGCCTTTAGCCCTTTTACCTTTAGTCACTGATTTTGCTTTGATTTGCTTCATATTCTAAACCAGTTCATGTTTTCAAACCCAGCTGTTTACAGATGGGCAGAGGTTTAGTCAGCACAGCACTGGAGAGCTCACTGTTGTCTGTATGTCCTCTCCTCCACCGACTACACAGGAAAACAGCAGTGCATGGAAATCTATACTTGGGACTCCAAACTTTGCATTTGCTTCTCTGTTCACTAACAACTTGGTGTGGGAAAATGGGAGTACTGAAACTAAGGAAAATGCACAAATGCTTCCACAACATTGTTCTATTTAAAACAAAATGCCCTAGGGGAAATTCACTACGCTGATAATGCTATTCTGGAATGTTAGGACCATTATGTTATTAGATCTCAAAACTAAGGTAGCATTATTCCTGTTTTAAATCTAACAAAGTTCAGTAACACAAAATTGAAATCACTTCTCCAGCATCCTTCAGTGATGGACAAAGGACAGAACACAGCTCCCTGAAGTTATAAGCTCACATTGTGTGGTGTGACAGCAGAGAAGGATGTGTCAAGTCTGGGCACTCTGTAGCTCAGTCTGATAATAACAGACACCAAGGGCTCCTGTCACGTTGTACAGGGAACTTGGCACCTCACAGACCTAACACAAAATAGTTTTCCAGTCAGCACCTCTTCTATATGTCCCATCCATACCATAGGTATGCTTGTTCCACTGCCTAATAAAGTGAAGTGGTGCAGGCTCTGAACCTGCAGAACGGCAGTTCCCAGAGGACGTCTGTGAGTCAAACACCACAGTGACATCTGCAAGTGGAAAAAGATCAAGAACTGCTGCTATAAAAAGCTTATTTGTACAGCTTGGGTCAATACCTGCTCTGCTGCTGTCATTGTATAGCTTGAGAATGTCATTCTGTGCTACAAATTGCCATCAAGCAGATTTGTTCTTGAATTCTTTTAAGACCAGGAAGAGGACGGATTCTCTATTGTTCAAAGCAGTGCTTCCAGAGAGCAGTGGAAGAAAGAAATAATCAATTCCTCTTCCTGCACTGTTCACTTTGCCCGAAGCAAAGAGTGACTTAACTCAGTCTGCTTAGATCAGCTTCCACGAAACTCGTGATAACTTCAGCTTGTTCACATTCAACGCAATATGGTAGTCAGCCACCTGCTAAATGGTCATGCCAAATTAATTACTCTGGTAATCATTTAAACCCTCTGCCAGGGTAGTGAAAAAGCCCTCAGTGTGAATCAGAAGTGGATCCTAATGACTCCTGAAGGCCTACAGTGTGCCCTCATATTCAGGCCTGTTCTGTGTCAAGGAGTCATCAATTTATGGTTACCAACAAGCCACTGCAGTTGGCTGGCTGTTATGGGAACTAAACTCATTTCATCAGTTTAGCACCCTAAATTCATTAAAGAAAAAAAGATGGGACTGTTATTATGACAGATTTGAATGTTTTCCTGGGGGCTATGGCAGGAATTCAGCACAGGACATCCTTTGTGGTTTTACAAAATCAATCTTTCTGCTGAAATCAGCAATACCTGATTTTAGAGTGTAAGAGAACATGGTGTTATCTCTGCTGCTTTTCTCCCAGCAGTTGTGGTCAAAAGGCAGTAAAAGAGTTTGAGCTGAGGCTGAATAGAAAGGTGCTAGAAGTGTGAAGTTGCTCTTACCTGCCTCTTTTATGTGCTTGTATACATCATCCGAGCCAGCAGAGGAGTATGGGATGTCATCATGGGCTACAAAGTCAATCTGCCAGTGAACAGAAGAATCACATGCCACCACCACTGAATTTTGGTTCAGAGAGGGGTTGTTGTGGAAGATCAACTCTTGATTTCAGCTGACTTTCTTTTGACATTCTCATCCTAAAGCCATCACCTAGAATACTGCACTAGATTTAGGCCTAAAACTGCTAAGTTCTATGATAATAATGAAAGAACAGAAAGCTTGTCTCCAGAAGCACTGTCATTAACACAGTGCTGTGGCTGTCTGTGATATTCTGTAGAAAACCTAAGATAGCTGTTTCAGCTACTGGAAGAGCCGAGTCATGTGGGCACCAAAGTACATTTAGTAAATTATGCTTTTGTTAAGATGTACTGCATGACAGACAATAACTGTAAGAGATTATATTTCTTTGTATTTCTGGCCAAGTATTGCACCTGTTCACATTAATAACAAATATGTCTTGAATTCAGGACTTCAACAGAACTTCAGTCATTGCATTATAGCTTTATTGGTGGTCGATCTTTCCTGAATATAAGTTTATGGATGATTCTTCAGTTATTTTGCCATTTAAAAATCAGCCCAGCATACTGAGGAAAAAAGACAAGAGAAATACAGCATTTTCTGACACAGACTGAGGGCAAGCAAGGCAGGTACCTAACTTTGGATACTGGAGTGAACTGAATTAAATAACTTACTCCAGCTGACACAACTTCACACGCTTGCTGTTTACCTTCAATTCCCATATAAGGGAAAGGGGGATAAGAGGAGAAACATACCTTATGTTTCTCAAGGAATTCTGGTGTTAGTGTCCAGGGTGCATCTCTGATGACCTCATCCACATAGCGACAGTGTCTGAGGGCTTCATATCTCTCCGTTTCATTCATCACAGTGAAGCCTTTGAACTTATGAGTTAAATCATCACTGCAAACTAAAATATGGAAGTATCATCAAAATGACTTCACCCGCTGTAGAATTTGCTGGATCAGATATTTTTCACTTCCCATAATTATGCTAAGCACTTAGCTATCGCCTTAGCTAATTTTGAGGAGCTCCAGGGCCTCTAGGAGATCTGCTCATGGTTGGCAAGTACAACCACAGATTTATGAGAGACCTTCCCTTTCTAGAGCTGCAGCCGGAGCCCAAGTGAAATACTGCAGGATATCTCACATGGTACCGTAAGCACACGTGAGGCAAGTGAGTCCCACTACAAGCAAGAGATTTCAGGGCTGATTATGGACAGTGCTTCAAAAATAAATGGAAACTGCAGTGTCAAAGTACATGTATCACAAAATGGTTGAGACAGGAAGATACCTGGACACCTAATCCAACAACCCTTCCCTGGAGGGGGCTGACTACAGCAAGGCTGCACACCAAAGATGGAAACCACACAGCACCCTCTTCCAGCGTTCAACCGCCCTCACAATATAAAGGTTTGCTCTTATGTAAACAAAGTTCTAAATGATTAATTTGCCCACACAGCTCTAAAATCACAAAGAACAGTTTCTCATGAAATAAGCACTGAATGAAATAAGGTCGGGGCAAATTTTACAGGAATCTGTCTCTGAGTTTAGCTTGGACTTCAGCAGATTTCATAGAAAGAGAAATAAGGCTTATGGCATGATCAAAGGGGAAATTACAGAAGAAAAAATGCTGTGGAAAGGACTGGGAGAAGGTGTATGCCCCAGTGGAGAGGGTGGAGCCTGGGAATGCATCTTTAACTCTGGATGTGCCAGTACTGTGTCACACTGCTTTTAAAATGAGGGGGAAGCACCATCCATGTTACTGAGGACTATAAAAGTTGGCCATTATCCTTCCACTCACGTAATGTTGCATAAGATGCAGTGGCCTGTCCCCACAGCTCTAACTCTGTCCAATATTATAGCTGCAATTGTCATTTGACTCCCGCATGGAATAATTTTATACCCTTTGGGTTGACAGTATTTGCCCTTCACCACAGGTCAAACCCATGCCTTTGCGTCTCACTTTTCTGTGACACCTGGACAAACACTAAATATACTTGACAAATGACAAATGCAACATTATTAGTGCTGCAGAGGCACGTGAGAGCAGCCCAACAGCAGCCACTTCTTTCCAATTTGAAAACATCAACCTATCAGACGAGGCTCTGGCAAAGATTAAGTCCTTTTTGAGATTCAAAATGGATGTTCTTGATGTATGGTCATTAAGAACCTTTAAAGCAGGCAAAATGTAAATACCCTGGAGCTCAGGCAAAATTCAAAGTCAGATAACAATATATATGTGTATTTCAGCTAGCTAAATGCAATTCTCTCTTGTGACATCATTTTTATATGCCTGCTGATTTAATGGAGAAAACGCATTTGCAGTTGGAAGATTCCTTTCTGAGACTGCATTTATATTTATTTACAAACCTTATGTAACCTTAGCGTTACCCTCTCCTGGAAGAAAGGGTCTGTTAAAATTATTGAGAAACAGAAGTTTTTGCTTGAATTTTGTAGAAAGGTGAAATTTCAATTTTTGAGTACTACTTGTTCATATAGAGTGCAGTCACAGTGTGTCTGCACTTCCTTTTATTTCTATCATCCTGCTCTAATGAGTGGTTTGGGAAGGCATAAATGTCTATCAAAAACATCTTAGCTCCAAATAATTGTTTTCACAATAAGAAATAAAAGGGATCGGTTGTGATGCACAGCAACACACGTGACACCAGTGCTTTTGCAGCACAAATTGTACGTGGGTGTGGAAAAGTGCCCATTCTTTAAACGTGCTAAGGCACTGCATTGCTGTGAAAAGGTACTAATGAGTGCTGGCTGCTTTGTCTTTCACTCCAGAACTAAAAGGCACAGTGGAGCTACGCCATGGAATTCAATAAAGCTGCATTTTTGCCCCAGAGCTCCTTCCCTGATATGTGACACAATCATTTCACCTCTCTTACTTTTAAAAACAGGAACAAAACCTACATAATTTCCATTTTTTAAGTTTCACATTCTTCACACTTTTGCACATCCACTTGTTTCTACTGCAAGCTATCTGGATCAAGGGGGAAACAAGATGTCCTACATTTTTCTTTCGTAACAAAGGGATGTCATTTCTCTCTGAGGAAGCTCCCTTTGAATTGTCACCATTCATAAACTTAATAGTAAAACTGAAGATTATGTTTAAAAGGAGATTTTCTTTTCCTCTATAATTTTTTTTAAACCTTCCCCCTTTCCAACTGATTTGGAACAAAGATGCAATGAGTGTCTTAGAAAGCATCTGGAGGTTGCATCTACATTCTCTTTATTATCATTTCTATGAACATCTGAGCAGCTGAATATTGTTGTGCAATATTTCTGAGATGTATCTCAAACTCAAAGGTGCAGGGAAACTGGAAATGAAATGCATGTTCTTGGGGCCTCACGAGAACAGTGCTTGCACAGCCAGCTGGGCAAGAAACAGCCACTCTCCAGTGACTTCTCTGGCAAATGCCAAGTGCTGAGCATCTGTTAGCAAGCCACACGGCAAAAAAGAAGGAATTAGTGGAAAAAGCTGGAAAGAATGTAAATTGCCTGCGGACACTTGAGAGCTGAAAAATATATTCAAGTCATGATGTACATTTAGGTCTACAGTGATAACAGGCTAGATTCAGCTTCTCGGCTGATGGTGAAGACTGGGCTCACACACACAGTACTGACCCAGCAGCAAGAGGATGTGGGCTGTGCCTGACTGGCAGAGGGACTGAAGAGCCAGAAATAAATGAGTGGCTGATCTCATTCACTCATCTCCATCTTTGAACAATTTTGAGCGAATAACTGAAAAAGGTAAATTATTCATGTGGAGCTATTCTAAGCACAGAGTCACGCAGACACCTGCTTTAACTAGAATGGGAATTGTGCCTGTGCTGCTGAGGGCAGAATTTGACTTTTACTTTAATTGATGCAATTGTAAGATGTAAGTCAAGGCAAATCACCTATAGAAAGCCCCCAGAGTGAAAGTAGCATTCAAAGTCATAGTGCATTAACAGCGGGGGGTGAGAGCACAGCAATAACTCCAATGCTAAAGCACAGAAGCAAAAATTCAGTGCAATAAATTACTCTGATCTTACCTCCTACTAATAAGTAGCTATTTGGGAATAGAGTTTTGGCTTGCATAAGAGCTCTAGCATGGCCAGAATGGAAGAGGTCAAATATCCCATCTGCATACACTCTGACAGGTCTGTCAACTGTGGAGAAAGAAACACAACAGTGACTTTACAGACCCCAAACTAGTTTCACTTAATTCAGCTGAACAGGTTTTTGTTCCCAGATAAGATCACTGTGAATATCTACTCCATTTCTGATATTCAAAATTCTCTGTGGGTGAACGTGCGGAGTTTTATCCTGCTTATTGCTTCTTCTTCTCTGTACTCTGCTGTTTTCTCTCAAACTTAGCCTATTTATTATCATCCATCATCCCCGTATTCTAATTTAGCAAAAATGTCATCCTCCTGTCTCATTCAGAGTTCCACCATATGTCTTGTTCTTTTCCCTCTGCCTTTCTAGACAGTTCTGTCTTCTGGATTTTTAAATTTTTATTCCTTGCTTTTTACTATTGCTTCACATTTTCTCCCTCTGGTTTGTGGCTTTTTTCCACATAACTCACCTCTTCCACATAAGCACTTCACTGTCCTTTTTTCATATTTCCTTCTTATTAATGAGCTCATCTTTTTTTTCAGTCTTACAGCCGCTATCACCCATATAACTCTCCCTGTATGAAATCTTCAGCAACAGTCTTTAGGCAGAAAAGGTAAAACATTCTTTACCAAATGACTGGCCTAACAGCTGTGCCACAGAGAAGTTACCTTCAAGCAAAAGGGAAACTGAGACAAGAAAAACAGAGCCCTAACATTCATGGAACGTGCTTCAGCTCTACAGAGAGATATCTCCACTATCAGGACATCCTGGGGTCCATAAAGATTTGGGACCACATAATACCTTGAACAACTGACTAGGAATCTGGTATTTACTCCTCTACAGTGGATCTGCTTACGTACTCTAGAAGCTTATTTTAAGTATGTAGAGTAAGTATACAACAGCTTAAAAAAAAACAACGATACTCCTGGAATCCAGTGGGGCTGAAATATTTATTTGGGACTTTCTGTGAAATTATTCTGTTTCCCCAGCCCAAACACAGAGGTAAGCCTGGAAAAAATGTTCAGACAGAGCTCACAAATTAGGAATGTTTTCTTTACAAAGGGCAAACCGTCTTTAATTAAGGCCACTGAAGATTTTTATGTGGTCAGTAAGAGAATCAGTGAAAGAAACTCCAGTGGTAGCCATTACACAACACAGTTTTCAGGCTGTCTGGAGTGGGCTGGCAAGCCTTCCTTCTGAACAACATGCAAGCATCCATGAGAATATCAAACTCTAGCTTGCAATGTTTTCCCCTGTTTTTTTTCTCTAGCAAATAATAACAGTCCTTTAGTCACTGGTTTCTTCCCCATTACCTGATAGCACCAGATATCAGGCTGGCCTCTTTGCTTCCAAATAGAAGGCAAAAGCCAGTATTGGTACATATCTGTAAGAGAAAGCCTGTGCTTTGAGAGTACCCATGGTCCTGCTGATATTCTCTACACATACCTGGTGTTCCCAGGCGGGCTTGTGCAATGGTCAGCTTCTCGTGGGGTGCTCTGCACTGACAGCTTGTTTCATCTGCAAACGGGGCAGGTGCTGTCAGAGTCTGGAAGAGGAAAAAACACAGTCAATTTGTTTGGTCATCAAGGAGTCAAAAAAGAACCACTGAATTGTTCCAGAATGATATAACCAGGCTAAATGCTGGTGTGTTCCCTATGAACTTTTGCTTCTCGGTCACCCTTCAGCAAATACAAGTGTAAAATGATGAGGAAAATAAAGCTTTCCAAAAACTTTCCAAAGCTTTCCACTGTGTAACCTAACTCATTGTCTCAGTTGAGAAGCTCAAGCATTCTGACGAGAGAGCAGGCACAGAACTGTTCTGTTTGCAGGGCAAAGACAGGTCTGACGGCTATAGGTCATGGCAGCTAAATGGTTGGTTTGGTCTCGACAAGTCTGAAGGCCCACGTTAACAAGATGTGTTTTGCTGTGTGTAAGTAACAGCTGGAAAAGCTAATTGGAATCTAGATACTACAAATAGGCCACTCCTCACACGTACCTGTTCTTCCAACTGACAAAACAGCAGTACAGATGACTGGGACCATACACTGTTTTGCTGTGTCTTTAACCAGAATCTCAGACAATTTTGAGGAGCCATTCAGAATAAAGCCAGGGCTGCAACCAGAAGTTGTACCTAGCCAGAGCTATCTGAGCTGCAATTCCCTTCTCTTTTCTGACATTTACTGTAACAGTACTAAAACGCTTGAACTGTCGTCAGAGCACAACGAGGGTCTGAAGAGCTTATAAATTAAAGACAGGAGTGAGAGAGTGAGGATGTGTGAAGAATGATGTGGTGTTATCTGTCAGGAAACCCTGCTACAGACATTACTTTTTTCTGTTCATGCCTATGCAGGAAGGAAGAATATCAGGCGTTTATTATCTGCCATATGGTCTGATATGAAAAAAAAACATGCTTCCCTTACTCTTGGCTTGACGTCTCTCCAGAATCATAGAAACAACAAGCTAAAATTAGCTGAGTTTTGGGTTGCTCTGTTTCTGAGAGATGAGGTGTTACTTACTTTGCTTCCACCGTGATTTAGCGGTGACCTCACAGCCTTGCACCATTGCTTTGGTTTTGACAGTGACCATTTATGCAGTGCACAGCTGTCAGTATAAATTTGATCTGTTGGTAGTAACAGAATCTCTCTTCCTGTTTATTTATACTTTTTTAGCTTTTAGATATTGAACACTTAATCACTGAGCTTTTATTTTCTTTAGCATCCCAAGATGCTTAAATCCAAAGACACGTAGAGCTTAATTGCTGCTCTAAGCTCACTGTCTTGTTGCATGCAAAGGTCAGAGGACAGTAGTAAAACGACAGTAAAAAGTGATCTGTAAGAATCATTTTTGACTCTTCCTGCTTTGGGATATACTATTTGTTTTGTTTCCCTCCAGCACTCAACCTTCATATATGTACGTGTACATTTTTCCTTCCTGTTTTTCCTAAGATCAAAGACTGCTGGAAATCATCTGAGGTCACATTAATATGTTGGTGATGAAAATCACAGCTTCCCTGCACAGACAAGGTTAAAATTGGAGAAAATATGCCAAACAGCTCCACATTTCTGCCTGGGTCTCATGGAAAGGAACTATTCAACTGGCCACCCAAGTAGCACAGCACAGGGCATTACACATAATCATATAGTGGGAGCTCCCTCCTTTATTTTCTAAATACTGTCTTTTTGCTTCTGTCTTTGTGATCCCTGAGTGCTAACCTGTCTTTTTATCTCCAAGCAAGGTCAAATTACACAACAGCCCATACAGCCAGGTTCGTGCTGAGATAAAGAGGAAGGCAGAAATGTTAAAACAATAATGGCTATGGTCTGAGGCCTGCAACTGGTAATCAGATCCTAGCTTGGCAGAGGCTGTTTCCTTAGAGATTATTTGAAGAAAATAGGCCTGGTTCACAGCAAGATTTTTTTTTTCCAGGCAAACACAGTGGGGCTTTTTGTCCATTTAAACACCTTTATGACACCAAGGTTTTCTTTCAGTCTCTGCTAAATGGAGAACAACTATTAGCTTCTATTAGCTTCCCATCAATCTAGTTTTTGTAAACACTCATCGTTAAAGCTCACTTCATGGCCAAGGGCTTAGACCCAGACTTGTCCATGCTTCCGTTACTCCGTGACCTCTCAATCCCTGGATAAGAAAATGCATTAAACACAGCAGGTTAAAAGCAGCAAAATTCTGTCAAAAACAGAATGCATAAATGGAGAAATGGATAAATACTGTGTGCTGCCAGATGAACTCAAACACATCAATAGCTCCCAGTTATAATACTATTCCATTTTCTCTGGCCTAGAAAAGATGCCACAGAGCTTAAAAAGAACATCTTATGAGTAAAATAAGATAATTTGGTTTGTCTGCAATGGTGTAAGATAAAGTATTTCAAGAAGTGATCAAAAACCAGAAATAAATTATCAAGTGCCTTTCTGCTTTTATTATAATTACTCCTATCTTTCCAATTTCTTGTGAGTAATAACTGGAACTGAGAGAAGAGATAATCTACATAGCAGCCTTTTCATTTTGGTTAATCCACTGAAGTACTTGCAGAAGTTTGCTTCAGTTCTGCTAATAATCAGATGGTTAGACAAGTGTACTTCTGTCTTCTTCTGACAGACTTTTCATCTGTGTCTTTATTATTTTCCGGGCACTTTCATTTTGCAATTAGCCAAGCAAGTCAAATCACCCTCATCTTTTGGACCAAGATAAGCTTCGGAGATCTGCATCATCCTGTAGCAGGGTACTCTACAGCCTCAGCATGAGCTCACTGGCAAATTATCTCCTTTTGCTTGCTCAGCATCTGCCTTTTGCTTGTATTGTTTTATATTCTTGCACTGGAAATCATCCATAGTCACCTATTCCATGTCTCTGAGGATTTCAGTTATTTTGTGATTTCTCTCTTTTCTCCTCTCAGTCATTTTTTCCCAGGCTAATTTTGCCCTGATTAAATAAATAACAGAATTATTCCCTCACATAGCTGGTCCACAGCTTTGTTTATTTTTGTTGCCCTTCTCTGTTAGCCGCAAGGTGGTTTAAAGCTGGTTTTCACACTGTTCAAGCTGAAAACTCTTCCAGTTTCTAGAAAGGGAGCTTATAAGTAGGATGGGGCTGACTTCTTACATGGTCTACTAGTGACAGGGCAGAATAGTTTTAAACAAAAAGAGGGAGATTCAGGTTAGATGTTAGGAGGAAATCCTTTACTCAGAGGATGGCGAAGCTATTAGCACAGCTGCCAGAGAAGCTGTGGTGCCCCATCCCTGGAGGCGCTCCAGGCCAGGCTGGATGGGGCCTGGAGCTGAGCTGGTGGGGGGCAGCCCTGCCCATGGCAGGGGTTGGGCTGGGTGGGCTTTAGGGTCTCTTCCAACCCAAACCATTCTGTGTTCATTTCATGATTCTATGATTGTAGAGCTTTAACAGATAGGAATATAAAATTATTTACATGGTGCTCACACTCAGGTTATCTGATGCCGTAAGCACCTGATAGCAGCAGGGAGACCATATTTTCGTTTAAGCAGTCCAAATGCCATGTTGTTACTGTAGTATTAATTTGTGGAGTCTACAGACAACCTGTTACCTGTCATAAATGGAGAAGTCATTGTGAAATGGGGATTCCTTAGTGATATTTATTTCTGAGGATGTTAAAAATAAAAAAAAAAAAACTTTGCAATGCAACTCATGTTTCCTGGAAATGAAGACATTGCACTGAATTGTAATTTAAAATTGAATTCCTGAAAGCAAATGGATGTGAAAATAAGATACCAAATAACCCCTGCATGTGGCGTGTGACCCACCTGGTGACAAGTTTCAAGTATCTCCCATGTTCACACAAGAATTGAATGAAGTTCAATCAACTTCAGTAAATTAAGAGATGGAAAGGTAGGACAAGAGTGGCTTCCAAGTAAATGCCTCAGATAGCGTCATTTGCACTCAGCATGTTAGCAGCCCCCAAGTACAACTAATGAGACTGAGTGCAGGGCAGTAGCTCTCTCCAACTGAACTCCATTCTGAGTCAGAATGCAACCACAGAAGAAATGCCATATGACTACTAGGAGCAGTTTATTTTCAGGCATATCTTGGTGCTGCCTTTCTATTACCCCTCTTCATAGCCTCTTAGGCTACTGTAGCCATTTAACTCAGCTGCAATTCAGCAGATAAATAGGAACAGCTTATGTTTCCAACGGATTTAAAGGAAAGTGGGAGGTGTTTTGTAGAGGAACAGGAGTCAGATCACTGAAACAGCACCTAAAAAGTATGAGCACCTCTACACCATTTATTTTGTTTACAGTCAGTAAGAGGAATAACTAGTAGTGTGACTGTTCTATGTATTTCTTTTTATTTTCTTCTCCCACGCAGCAGCGAGGAAGAGAGAAATATTTTTGAAGCTGGGCACACGTAGAGGCATCCACACGACACTGCATCTGCCATTGTAGCTGTGTCTGAGGGTAACTGCATGCAACCTATGTACATAGAAGGGACGCTACTTTTAAAAAACTATTTGTATTAACACAGCTACACTACCTTGCTTACCACGTAGCAGACAAAAACATTGTTGTCTTGATAGAGAGCACTTTTCTATGTCACCAAGGATTTGGCCAGCAACAAAGGTCTGAGCACATTTCAGGTCTTGACCCAGTACGGCTAGACACGGAAAGCTTCACAGAGCTGTGCTTTGTAAGGCCTGTGCTTTGCTGGCAGGGAAATTCTGTGATGCTGCAATCTCCTTCCCTCTCTGAGGCAGTATTTAAAACAACTGATTTCACTGGAACGAGTCACGTGGGTGAGGTCTATTCATATGAAGAAAGAATATTTTGGGAACCTGCTCCTGATGTTAGCAAACAGTAATTACAGAACAGGAAACGCTGACATCGGCTTTAAGGAACATTTGCTAAGAGCAAAATGTTATTGAAACTCTTCAGGAGGAACTAAAAATACACGTGGAGCTTCTGAAGTATAAATGCCCTTTGCTAGTGGAAGGGCTTCCTACCTGGGTCTTCTCCTGGAAGGCTGGGGAGTGAACAGTACAGAAAATGAACATCCTGTTGTCTG